TGTGCCGTACGGTTGAACGTATTGTTTGATTTGAATGGAAGGAAACTCCAGCTAGCTGTCACCGACTGGTCCTAATCTCACTTTGTCCAGTAAGATACAACCCGTACTTATTATAGGGCTTATAACCTGACTGCTTATCACTTCAGAATTTAGATGCTTTGGCATATGCCATAGTCTCACGTGGTGGTGATTGAGGTAGATCCCAACTCACATGTTTTTTCTGTTTATTTTTTATTTTTTATTTTTTATTTTTTTCAATTAAATAAATATAGGATCGTAACTCATCAACATTCTTTTATATACTAGTGTATAGTATACATACATACATGACAATGCATTAAGACTTAAAAGTCTGACTAGAAAGTCAAATATGCATCCAATAGATAAGATTAGGATCCAAAATTAGATTATTAACTTTAAGAATCATTATATCTATATATATATATATATATATATATATAAGAATAAATTAGTCTAATCAGAGATTTTTATTTATTTATTTATTTTTATTTTATTTTATTTTATTTATTATTATTATTATTTTGAAAAAATGAATAAATTCTTACACATACATGGAGACAAACAGAACAACCTTCAATAATTTAAGGAATACTACGAGTCAACCCAAAGTATTAAAAAAAAATTCATCTTTTAATTCAATACTTGAACCACAATCACATAATTTTAGAAATTTCTTGTAGCTTAACAATGTAACTTACATGAAAAAAAAAAACAAAAAAAAAAAAACAAAAAAAGAAAACAATAATTTAAGGAATACTACGAGTCAAAATAACCCCAAAGTATTATAATTTTTTTCATCTTTTAATTCAATACTTGAACCACAATCACATAATTTTAGAAATTTCTTGTAGCTTAACAATGTAACTTACATGAAAAAAAAACAAAAAAAAAAAAAAAAAAAAACAAAAAAAGAAAACAATAATTTAAGGAATACTACGAGTCAAAATAACCCCAAAGTATTATAATTTTTTTCATCTTTTAATTCAATACTTGAACCACAATCACATAATTTTAGAAATTTCTTGTAGCTTAACAATGTAACTTACTTGAAAAAAAAAAAAAAAAAAAAAAAAAAAAAAAAAGAAAACAACAACGCTTAACGACATTTGTAATAAGGGTTAAAATCACAAAACTTTTATTTACTTTCAAAATTGTGTATAAAACTTCTAGTAGAATTAAAAAAAGATTCCTCCATATCCATGACTGCCCTGTTAACTTGGTTGTAAAATGACAAAATTGACCTTGTTTTTTAATATTAAATTAAAATGATGATAATAATTTTTAAAAATTAATTTCAAATTAAAATGATGATAATAATTTTTAAAAATTAATTTCAAATTAAAATGATGATAATAATTTTTAAAAATTAATTTTGTAATTTTAAAATAGCAAGGTCAATTTTGTAATTTAATATTAAATAATAATTTTGTAATTTAAAAAAAAATTATAATTTAACATTATTTAATGGTCCTTTATTATTTTTGTAATTTTAAAATAATATATTTTAATATTTTAATTTAACATTAAATAACAAGGTCAATTTTGTCATTTCACAACTAAGTATTTTTAGTTCAAGGATTTTTTTTTTTTTTTAACACTAGGGTTTTATGCACAATTTTGAAAGTATAGGGGTCTTATGATTTTAACCGTTATAATATATATAGAGATTTGAAAGGAAATGAGAGAAAAACTGGTGAAATAAGAAAGTGAAAAAATTAATCAGATGTTTATATATATATATATAGCAATTTTGAATTATTTTTGTAATTTATTAAAGGGTTAATTGCAAAAAAAAACCCTATATATATAAGATGTGCAATTATCATTCCTATTTTTTATTATGTACATATATATAAATCCCTGTATTATTAATAATTGGAGCAAATTGTCCTTGATAGTCAATTTTGATCAATTTTTTTAAAAAAAGAAAAATCCTAAAATACACTTAGTAAGCAAGAAAAAAATATATAATTAAGTATTTCTATACAAGTAAAGCTAACATTCCCACCTTCATTGGGATGTTAGCCTTTGTCCCTACAATTTTTTTAGACATAAAAGTCTCTAACTTTTGTTATTTAATATTTCAAAATATTAAGTTTTGTTATTTAAAATCAATGAAAAAAAAAGTTTGGTATTAGAAAACACCTTTAATTGCTTTCTCTATATGATAAATTAAACCCCTAAAAAATAAGAATAATTATTACTATTAACTATATATCATTTGAATTGCAAAGGATATATATATTAGGGAAAAGTATAGAAAACATCTATAAAGTATATTTCACGTAACACTTTTATCCCATATTTGAAAAAGTATGCAAAAAAATATTCTTAATCTTTTTACATTATACAAAAATACTCCATCAGTGATAAATTAGTGTTGTAATATCCGTTTTGACTTTTACTCTTTAAAAAATGACAAAGGGAGATATATATGTTACTAATCTCATAATATAGGAGTGTTAAGTGCATATTACCTTCTATATATATATATATATATTTCCATTTTTAACTTTTTTTTCTATATATATCTCTAAACTTTCTTTCTTTTTTAAGAATTTGTAAAACAAGATTTGATTTTTTTTTTTGACATTTCAATTTATTGTTTTCTACTATTAATTTTTTATCTTTATTATTATTATTATTATTTTGTACCAACACTATTAAAAAAAATAATAATAAAAAAAAGGAAAAAATCTCAATATTGTGTTTTCAGAGTTTGGAGCAGATTTGTTTTCTTTAATTTGTACCTTATTATTATTTTTTTCTATCTTTACCATTTTTTTATACTTTTAATTTTATTTTATTTTTTTTCTATTTTTGTCTTCACTTGTCCGTTGCCGGTATCCTCCAATAGTATCTTTTTCCGTCATTTTACGAAATTATTTATTTTTATATATTTTATAAAATGATTCAATATGGGTAATTTAGTCAACTTATGATTTAAATTTGTTAGAGGGACCTATTTGTACCAAATTGAAACTTTAGAGGTAGTTTTTACACGTAAGGGGTGTCCTCCCATAGTGTTCTTTTTAGTCATTTTATAAAATTATTTCTTTTTATATATTTTATAAAATGGTTCTATAAAAGTAATTTAGTTAATTTTGAATTTAAATTTGTCAAAGGAACTTATTTGCACAAATTAAAACTTAACCCATATATATATATATATAATCATTACAAGCAGTTAAGAAGAATTACAATTGTAATGGCGGCCAGTTGCATTAAATCCCTCTGGACTGTAGCATTTTGTAGTAAACTCTTTTTAAATTAGTTGAATTACGTACATAAAATTTTCTTGACTTGGTAAGAATATTGTAGTAAATATAACCATATGTTAGTTGGATTAGAGCGATTTTTTGACCAACAAAAAATAAATTAACTAAAGAGATAGCAACCTAACCATATAAGAAGAGTATTGTTGTTGTATGAAGGAATTCAATCCGACGGTCACGTGACCAAGCCGACAGCAAGACCTAAAGTTCAACCAAGAAACTTTGTTGCCACTAATCATTTGCCACTGATAACTCAACTGCTTTGCATGGCAGTTATGCCTACCAAGGCTTGCCATGCACGTGACACCCACTATTATTAATCCTTAATACAATAATTAACATTATCAACAATTTTGAGAGCTCTATTGACCATAATAATATCTAGTGCCATAAGGAATCAAGATACCAAATATCCCGATTCCAGACACCAATTATGAGGGGAGGGGCCTCACAGTCGATGTTAAGGAATTCGAGTCCTCAACATCGTTCTTATTTTTATTGTACTTTAAAAAGTAATTTCCATGAATTAGATGACTTAAATTACGATAGACACATTAATTGTGATAGAGGCGACTTCTTGTTGTCAAACACAAAAGAACTCTTCTATTTTGGTCAAACCAAACGACCCAAAAACATTGAATTATGTTAGCCACAATATGATAGGACTTTGGTCGCTCTCAAATCACTTTGAGAATCATATTTCAACATTAAATGGTGAGACTTCACTATTGTTGGGGTCTACCCACGATGGGTTATAACTCATGGCCAAGGCGGTGAATAACTTTCATTGTTTGCTTGAAAGGGTTACAATCCTAAATCAGATGACTACTCTTATTGTATATAAAAGGACACACGTTGTATGGAGAGGGTAGAGGTTGAGAGATTTTAGATTTTTCTTGTGAGTGATTGGGGATACAGAAGGATTAAGGGTGGTGAGTGATTTCTTTGGGCAATCCTCTATTATTTTGTATGATTTTTACAATCTAGTGAAAATCTTATTCTTTGTGAACGTAACCTTAATATTGGGTACATCGTGTTTGCTTGTGATTTGTGATTTTTTTTTTTGATCGGTTGGTTGTTTGCTATGCGTGGGTCATTGTGTTTTATTTCCCAACAAGGGAACCCAATCAATATATCTAAGTCGTCTCGGCTGTGACAGTCACAACCACAGAGGTTCAGCTCATCTGGTTTGTCTGCATGCATTTGCATTATTATGAATATAGTCGTTTGTATATGCTCATGCAGTTATATTTTGACCTAGGCACACCACAAAATATGAACCACATGCGGTTCCGTATATAAATAATAATAATAATAATAATAATAAACAAAATCCCAATAATTATTATTCGATATTTCAGTTTGAAATTTACTACTATACATCAACTCACTCAACTAAACTGCAGGTTCCATTTGTCTATGACACTCAGATCCAATGGGGTCAAAACAGTTCAGCCATTTCTGTCATTTAATTTGATTAAGGGACCACATAACACAGGTTTAATTCAGACAAGAACATGCATGCAAGATAAAATGGCACTGCCTCGCCACCCCCCAACACACACACATGCTTGAAAATTAATTCAGTGGACCAGGTGTCGTTCCTTCAATTGGATTCCAGTATGAAACTTCAAATCAACATACAACTAAATGCTCAAAAGTAGAAAATAAAGGACAAAATTTGAAGACATGCATCTGGATCGATTATAATAAGGAATCCCATGGCATCCTTTTTTATTAAATTTTTTTATTTTTTTTTCCTTCAAAAATCTAAAGCCAACACTTGTTCAAAGTACTCGCATGCTTAAGTACACAAATTAATGGAAAAAAAAATACACAAATTAACTTGAAAATCCAAATATGAAATACACTATGATCTCTACAAGGCCAATCCACAAAAATACCAAGTCTGCAGTTCAGTCAGTCACAGGCCATTTACAAAGCTTCAAATCGATGGAATGGAGACTACGAACTTCTGAAGTTCAGCTTCTACAGAGTTGAAGGCTGGCATCCCGCAAGGTGATCCCATTCACCGGAAAACATTGCGATTTTATGCTAATGTGGAAGCTTGCAACAGGTAACTGCCAAACAAGGTTTGATGGATGGTCCATATCGAGTTTATTGCCAAACAAATCAATAAGATTGAAGCCACCTAAAGACTTAAAGAGTTCAAACGCTGAGTTCCAATCCTCCTCTTTCTTAGACGCTCTGCAATTATAAAGGCAAGTTCAAGAGACTGAGAAGCATTGAGCCTTGGGTCACAATGCGTGTGGTAGCGTGAGCTCAGATCATCAAAAGTCACAGTTCGTGAACCACCGATGCACTCTGTCACATTCTGCCCCGTCATCTCCAGATGAATTCCTCCAGGGTGGCTTCCTTCTTGCTCGTGTACGTCAAAGAAGGCTCGCACCTCAGCCTGCCACCACATATAATGTTAGTTTTTGATCACACGTGCCAATATATTCAATATTATGACAATAACCTTATAAGAGAACACATTTTACACGGAGAAATTGGAGAGAGAGCTGCAAGTCATATCCCTCATCACAAACAAAACATCCAACATGTTTTTACTAATCACATTCTTTTTTATAGAGTCTCATTTGACTTTGAACCATCTTCCCCGCACTAATGTTGACTTAAAACTATGTTTTTGGCAGCCTGCAAGCAACCCATCACCCATTAAGCAGGATAGTGTGAGCCTACATCATCAAATTGACATCTCAAAGACTTACCAGTAGACCAACCGCTGGTTAAATTAGCTTACAGTCTTTAATTGGCCACTTTTGAATGATTGACCGTGACTTGGACCGTTCATCTACTACAAAATAAACTTTGAATATTCTGTTCAATTTGACCATTCTTTGCGTAGTTAATCATTACCTACCCTATTCACCCAACAACAATTATTAGGACATAATATTATATTGAATTGACATTTCAGTCATTGGAGGCTTATGTTGGGAGATATTATGTGTATTTTAGAATCTTATGAGAAAGTAATGATTCCTTTTCGCCATGAAAATAAATTCTATTTTGCTTCAAACAACATTTGATTTTATTTATTAAACTAACCAACATAAAGGCTTTGTTAGTAATTCAGAATTTAAATAGATTATGTCATTTTAATTTTATGTTACTGAGGTTGTTCATGTGATGACGCCATTTACATAAAAACAAGATATCACACTATGCTACAGATGTTTTCAGATGGAATAGCATCAATTAAAAGGCGTAGTGGCAGACTATCTCAGAGATCAATAATTAAGCAAACAAGTTAATGATGAAGTGATCGAAAGAGGTGGGCAAGAGAAATTTTACCAAGATTGCATCAAAGGGACGTGTTTTGAGTCCACAGGGTGCCTGGATGGTGTTTCCGTGCATCGGGTCACATACCCAAGTCACAATTTGCCCTGCTCTGCGGACTGCCCGGATCAAATGTGGAAGCTTGACTCTCATGTTCTCAGCACCCATTCTTGCAATTATTGTTATTCTTCCTGGCTTGTTACTTGGATTCAGAATTTCAATAAGATTAACTAGCTCATTTGGATCCATCTTATTGCTCACCTGGACCACAAGTTCCATCATTAACCATTAGATATTAGCCAACAGATGCATAAAAAAACCAAATCTGCCGTTCAATTAACACCACAAACGACAGAACATCACATATCGGCATGTTAAGTATAATGAAATCTAGAACAAGAAACTTTATTTAAGGAATCAATGTTTGATCTACCTAGAACTAGGATGACCTCATTTCACACAACTCATGAGCACCAAATATGAGTAAAATTTTTATATGAATCAGAAACTGTATTGCATGGACTCTTAAAAATGCATGATATAACTGTATCGAACATGCAATACCGAGAATTTATATGGGATATGTGTACAGCACATACAATTTGAGCATGCATCTATTATACTTCTAGTGTATTATATAATTGTCCATATTTGTAACATTATCGCTTTGACATGAGTGAAAACATAATTTTTTTTTCTAGAAAAAAACAAAAATTATTAAATAAAATGAATATTTAGTTGTCTCATTTCCTTGAATTTGGAGTTTTGATAGATACAATGTTTGGACACGGGTATTCAAGTCCATGTAACATAGTCAATAACTAATTGTAAAAAGTTCAATTCAACAATGATAGAATCAAATGGAAGTTGATGTCAAGGGGATTAGCAACAATGGACAGAAAAGATATGAATAGTCGTACACTACATTCAATTAACGGAATTAGTGTGCAATGCAGATACCTTGATGCCAAGAGGATTAGCAACTCCTCTTAGAAACTCTACATGGGCACCGTCTAGTTGTCTGGTACGTTCTCCGACCCAAAGCATGTGAGCAGAGCAATCGTAGTAAAGGCCAGAGGTCGAATCCTCCCTAGTGAGTGATTGCTCATAAGGTAAAAGCAAACACTCATGAGATGTCCAGAATTCGGTTGTCGTCATGATAGGGTGGTCAATTGTAAGCCCTGCAGCAGCCATGAATCCTAATGCCTCGTCAACCCTGTGAGCCAGTTCTTGGTACCTGTTGAAACATCCCCATACCAAACATGTTAAAATTTTCATAGGTTTTTAAAAATCCCGAAATGAAGCTGCACCTTGGTCATAGATAGAGTTGATCCAAAAGAAGTTTTCGGTCATATACCTATCTCCCTGCTCGCTGTGCTCCGCGAAATCAAGATTCCACTGTGTGACCCTCTGCATTGCAGCATACCCTCCAGTTGCAAAGGCCCTAAGAAGGTTCAAAGTTGCCGCGGATTGGCAATAAGCTCTTACCATCCTCTGAGGGTCTGGAGTTCTTGACTTCTCATTAAAATCATCACCATTTATATTGTCTCCTTTGTAACTAGGCAATTTCACTCCATTTTTCTCCTCCATTGGAGCTGATCTTGGTTTTGCAAATTGACCCGCCATTCTTCCCACCTATATTAATCAACCCCACAATTCAAAATCTCTCAATTCCAATCCCGTCTTTATATAATAAGAAGAAGAAAATTTCACCAATGTTGATAGTCCTTTTTTTAATATTTTAAAAAAAAAAAAAAAAAAAAAATCTAACTTTGTTTTATTATTATTATTATTATTATTATTACCAAACAACTAAAAGAACAACAAAGATTCAAAATCATTTAATTATAATTCCATTAAAAAAAAAAAAAAAGTGCTGCAAATTTGATGCCCATTTAACACAATCCAAAACCCTTAATCATTTACTTTAAAAAAAAAAAAAAAATTAAAATTTAGAATTTAAAAGAAAACCCCTAATCATTTAACTGCATTTAATCACTATTCTTGAAAGCCCATTTGAATTATAACTTAAATTAAATTTAATTATTACCTTAATTACAGGTACTTGACCTCCAAACATAAGAACAACACCCATCTGAAGCAGAATTCTGAAAGTGTCACGAATGTTATTAGCACTGAACTCCTTGAAACTCTCAGCACAATCACCTCCTTGCAACAGAAAAGCGTTCCCCATTGCGGCCTCCGCCAGCTTCTCCTCCAAATGCCTCGCCTCGCCGGCGAACACGATCGGAGGGAACGCCTCTATCTGTTTGAGAACCGATTCAAGCTCTGCCTCATTCGGGTACTCCGGGAGCTGCAGAGCTGTCTTGGATTTCCAGCTCTCCACGCTCCATTTCCCCGCCACCGGCTTCGGAGGGGCCGGGGCTGACTTCGGAGGCTTCTCGGCGATCACCGGACTGTTGGCGGGCTCCGCCGCGTGGACGGCGGAGATGGATCTGTGGGATCTGGGTTGGGGCTTGCTTGGGAGCCGAGAGAAAGAGGGTTGGTGGGTTTCGGGTGAATTGAAGAGAGATTGGGACTTGAGGAGTGATTTGGAAGAGATTGCAGAGCTGGTTGATAGAGCCATTGTTGGTTTGGTTGTTTAATGCCTTTTCTCTTCTCACCTCACACACTCTGAACCAGATTTCTAGAGAGAGAAAGAGGGGATCTGATAAGGAGGAGAAGAGTACATACGGCTTTTATAAGGGGTTTAGAGGAGAGAGATTGGGGAAGGGAAAGGTAGGGTTCGGTACGCTCCAACAGTCAAAGGGAAGACTTTGGTGTTGGAGGCAGAGAGTTAGGTAAAACGCGTTTCGGTTTGGTAAATAAGGGAATGTCTGAAGGGTACTTTGGGGAAAGAGCAAGGTTGAGTCAGTGTCGCGCACTTTCCCTTCTTTAACTACCTACCAACCGCAACTAATGGCGCCAAGCCGTTACTGTTAGTGACTGTTTGGCATTACCTTAAAGTAAACCTTGTTGAATCAACCTCATTCTTATCAAATAATTTAGAATTTTATTTTTATTATTTTTTTTTGAAAAGATTCACTCCTTTCTTCCTAAAAAAAAAAAAAAAATGTTCACCTCCATTTTTAACGGTCTCAAAATAAATGACGCAATTGAAAAGTCAATGTGTGTGTGTGTATATATATATATATATATATATATATATATATATTTCTAAGAATATCAATTTAATCTGTTTACAGTAAATTTATAAAAAGTAAATCATTACATTATTGTAGATCTTAATTTATTCACTACCGATACAATAAAGAAACATTAATGTTATGTTTGGGAGTTAGGAGTACCAATTAGTATCTTGAATTTAGAATTAGAGAAAATTAATTTCAAAATTTGAACTAAATTTTTCTCTAATTCCAAAATTTAAGGTGCAAATTCGATGTTGTCAAACATAGTATAAAACTCATCAACTTTAAAATTTAGATTTCAGAAAATGAGCATTATTTATGGGACGGCTGGGAATAACATTTATGAAATCATGTAATATCTAAAAAAGTGTTTTAATAATACAACTAAGGTTATTATTATTTTATTTACCAAAAAAAAAAAAAAAGGTTATTATTTTACTTTCTAACAAAGTGTTTTAAATAATACTACTACTTGTAATTTTTTAGGGTTGTATTTGCTTAATACTGCGTTAAATTAATCTTTTGGGGATTGTTAGATCGGATGTATTTGCATTGACTAATTAGTCATGTTATTTTATTCCCACAGGCCACAAGTTGAAAATTGCTCCTTCGACCTGTCGAAGACTGAAGGTTGTGGATGCATAGGCATGATAATACTATTTTTCTAACTGTATATATTAATAATAATCATTGTCATTCTAGAATATTCGGTTCTACACTTTTTAGGGTTGTAGTTTATTGAACACATAATGACATCATTTGAGTCGCGAGACATAGCGTCACATCTTTAATTAATTGTATCATTATCCAGGTTATACTTGCAATACAACTAAATCAAGGTGCAACACTATTATTTGAATCTCAAAATATGGCGTTGCTTTTTCACAATAATAGTGTTGCAACTCTATTATTTCAAATGTCAATTTAACAGTTTGACCCTATTGAGATCCTATTGAGATGGGTTTGAAATTACCCGAAATAGGTTTGAAATAATCATAATCAGGTTAGTCACGAATTTGAAAAAAAAAAAATTTAAAACTTGTAAAAGTCTCATTTAATATTTAAATAAATATTCTTTTATTAGTTATAATTTTTCTTTTGTATTTATTTTCTTTGATAATTTTATATTTTAACATCATTTTTTTGTTATTATGTTTATTAAATATTTGACTATACTTTAAAAAAAAATTTTAATTAAAAATATATAATCATGCATGAATACAAGTTATCCAACTAACCATCATAGTCATATATATATATTGTATACTTGTTCATATAAACAATTATATGAACACATATACAATTTTATTTTGATGGTGGTGGGTGATGAATTCGTGAATGATTGAATACAAGTTATCCAACTAACCATCAACAAGGATTTACTTTCCACACACCAATATCCACAACTTTTTTCTACCTCATTCAAGTCTGAAAATAAATTTTTTTAAGATTTATTTATTTATTATTTATTTTTTATCTTAACAAGAACCACAATTACATATCCAATTTTTATTTCTATGGAACTTTAACTCTCGACCTTTTACTTTAAAGTTATATTTGGTACAATGGAAAAGAAAAGAAAAAATGATAGCATTAGTTAGGAAAGAAAAGAAAATGAAAGAATAGTGTTAACCATGCATTATGTTTGATTGATTAATAAAGGAAAAGAAAATGAAAGAAAGAACAATAATTATGTTTGGAGAAAGAAGGAAAATGATACTATAAAACAAATTTATTAGCATACATTTTTTCACAAGTTTTGTCTTTTATAAAAATACCAAGAATAAGGGCAAATCGATTTTAGAAATTTTTTTTTATTTAACTTTATAGCCATTTTTCTTTTTATTTTCTTCCATTTCATTCCATTTTTAAAAGGATAACAAAACTCAAACTTCATGCCTAATTTGTATTCCTCCAAATCCCTCTATTTCTTTTAATGATTTATGCCAAACACATATAACATTACCATCATGACATTTTTTTTCTTTTGCTTTCATTTCTCTCCAACCAAACTTGTGTAAAGGGTGAAAAAATTACCACCATACCATACAACATATGGTTTGAATTGTAGGTTTGTATGATCCATTTGGAATCATGTTGGAAGCCAGGGAGAAAAGAGAAATTCTAGATATTTAGAATTCTAGGTGCTCCAAAAAAAAAAAAAAAAAAAAAAAAAAAAGAGAATTTTAGATATTGCTTATGTTAAATACTTCCACTGTCTTAAAAAGAGTGTTTATTTTGAGGAACTGTGACTCTCACAAATTGAAGAGTTACGGTTTCCTAAAAAAAACACTCTTTTTGAGACGGAAAGGGTATTTAGGTTTATAAAAGAACTGTGAACAGTTTTTCAAAAAAACACATTCTTTTTGAAACGGAGAAAATATTTAGGTTTGTTTTCTCTTTTTTATTTTTTTAAAAAATAGTTTTTTTTGTGTTTGATATATTGTTGCTAAGGCCATCCACAGCGGGGCTCTTCAAACCCCATTTTGGGTGAGCGAATGGACTGTGTCAATTGCAGCGGGTTAGTTATAAGTGGCAGGGCCCATTAGCAATCGCGGGCCGGCTAGCAGTATTCAGCAAGCCTACCCGCGATCGCTGCCCTTCTTTTTTTTTTTTTTTCTTGCTTCAAAACGGCACCGTTTGGTTGCTCCTCCTTTTTTGTCTTATTCTCCAGCTCCTGAACGGTACGCCAAACCGTGCTTGGCAGAATTTTTTTTAAAAAAAAAACTTTAAAATAGGTTATTTTAAGCTCCTTTTAGAATAATAATAATAATAATAAAATTCATTAAATAAAAAATATATTGTTTAAGCACTGTTTATCGAAAAAAAATTTATTTGGGCCGAAAATAAATTCAAAAAGCTTTTTTTTTTTTTTCTATTTTTTTCCTTAAAATTTGTTTTTTTTTTTTTTCTTCTTTAAATTTTAATCCTTATTTTCTTATTCCAATTTATTATTTTTAATCCTTATTTTGTAATCCTTATTTATTTGGGCCAAAAATAAATTAAAAAAAATTTTTTTTTAAAACTATCATCGTTAAAAATAAAAAATTTGGAGAGTCTAATGAAGTGCATGTTTTTGAAAAACAAAAACTGCTGATGTGGTTCTTAAAATTGTTAATATAACTCTTTAAAAAGTTAATGTGATATTTTTAGAGAGTAAAAATTTGAAAAAACCAGTGCAAATGACCTAAATGGTCTCGTCAAAAAAAATTGTTTTTATGTGTTTGATATATTGTTGCAAAACTGACTTGTCAAATCACACGAGGTTGAACGATTGATTACATTTTGCTTTTGTTGTGTTCACATTCCATATCTTGAGGTCATATGCATTTCATTTGTTTAGCTTGTAAAATAATTATTTTTTTTTTTAAAAAAAAAAGAAAGAAAAAAGATATTTGGATGTTAAGTCAAAACAAATTGTGAGTCCCCATAACTTTGAGTTGGGAAATTTTATAAAAACCAACTTTGGGCACCCACCCTTTATCTTTTAATCAAACAGAGTAAATATATATTGATCAAGAAGTACATTATTGAAATTTTATATGTTAATAAATAAAACAAACAAAAAATAAAATTAAAAACTCAAAAATTACAATGAAATAATCCACATAAAATATAAAAACGCAAATTTGATATTTGAAATAACAATTAATAAAAAATTAGAGTTGAAAAAAAGCTAATACAGATCCACATGTAATAACTGAAAGTGTGAAACACATGTAAAATAACCGAGGTTTGAGATCCACGTGAAAAGACGAAAGATGGTCCCCGTTTATTCCTTTAGACTAGTAAGGCGTTGCCACCTCAATTTATCTCACGTGCCATGACACAACCTGTTGATCAACTCTCAGATCATCTAATTGTAGTCTCTAGAATATTTCACTTATTTGGACCATTATACCCCTATATTACTTGGTGGCCGACAAAGGCAATCCTCACATCTTTTTGTAAAATACTCCCGATATACAGCCGCATCAACGTCATAACGTAGCTTCCCACCAATTGGAGACCCAAGACCCAATTTTTCTCATTTTCCATCACATTCCCCACATTTTGCAACACTTTCCATTATTTTTCATCTCCAACTTATTGAGAAGTTAATGAAGGCTCGACGAAGCTTCAAGAATTATTTTAAGAAGAATAAAGAGTTAGTATTGACAAGAGATTGATAATTAATAAGAAAAATAAAAAGAAAGTTAGAAAACACATTTAAATTAGGTTATTGTTTGGCTCACAAAGTAGTCTGAGGTTGCTAGTCAATGAATGACTGACCTAGAATGCGGGCGTGTCAGAGTACTGATGGACTCGAATATTTCTTGCCAAACTATTCCTATCGGGTAGGGTCGCCGACCTAATATGATTCAGGCGAAAGTTGGAGAGTAGGAATGACCCTCTCCTTAAGGTTACTATTGCCCTTAAAAAAGGACTTTAAACATTCAAGATAGATATCAATTAGAGGCAAATTAATTGAACAATAAATATACCTGAATCTGCAAACCTTTCTTCATTGACTTGACTGATTACAATGATGAATG